TTTGTTGTGACGATGCGTATTTTCACAACGGTGTACAAATAGGCGTTTTGTGACCGTCTCTTCACACACACACACACACCTCTTGTTTGCCCTTCGCCTGCCTTTTCTTTTTTCACATCGAGGAAACACATTGAGCGCCCCGCAAATATGGCAGTTGAATTCGGCTGAGCTCCTTATGTTCCTCGACCGTTTCCTCCATCCATGTCAATAGTTTTTTTATTGAAAATACATGAACAGATTATTGTTTGATTTCCTCAAGCAAGGTTCATTTTTTACATTTTATTTGTCTGCAACAAATACTACTATTGGATTTGACTTCCTCCGTACAACCGCTCATGCTATACACCCCACTGCTATTGTCTTCGGTGACTGTCTTTTCCCAAGCCGCNAATAGTTGAAAGATTGAGCGACAGAACAGAAATAGAGCTAGACCAACAAGGCGAGTTACTTAACAAACTTCACGATTTCTGACCCTCGAATATGTGACCTATTACCACTGAGTGTTGACTCGGAAGATCATTCGAACTGAGATCCACTAAATCGGTTTGTTGTCACGTTGGATTGAGCTACTGAGCACATCGCATGGGAGAACATGGGAGCAAAGCCAATGTTGTCCCCTGTTGCGTTTGATCTTAAAAGTCAGCCGGGGTATCAGCAACACACTCCCGTGGTGGGATCTTATTCGTTAAATAATAATCAAAACCCAACGTGAGGGTTATCAATGTCATGCGCGTGTGTGTGCTCGTTCGCGTCTGAGCACGCAGTGAGAACGAGTTCAACCATACGACAGTGATGGCCAAACCGCTCCTCAGTCACCATGCGCCTCATCGGGTAGTGAGTATGCCGGTGATTGCTAGGACTAATAAGCTTCAGTGCTTGCGAAGTTAGGCACAACACAATCCAATAGTTTCCCATCAGTATACGAATGTAGAGAAACTGAAGGCCCCCATCAACGCCATGATCGATTTCATGAGCGCACGAAAATACTACGTTGCATACCCCCGAATTCAGTACCAGAATCTAATCATTAGGCACCTACAGTTGTCAACATTTGGCATGCATGAGTGCTCCAGATGGGCGAAACTTGCGTCACATGGACTGATCAGTTCAACACAGCCGTGTTTAGTGATAAGGAAGTGTTTAATTTTGACCCCTCTCCTTTTATTCGTAATGTTCTAATTACAGAAGGTTGAGGAAATTTGTTTATTTGGAACAACGATACGATTACCGGGCCACTACCGATGATAAATATGAGTACAACACAAAACTACGATTTGCGCAATGGGCTGAAATACCTCAGTTCCATGAGACCCGGTGTTGATTCGGTTCTGGTTCGGTGCGCTTTCTCATCCTCCAGAAAAGACGAAACTGGTCATTTTGGTTGGCATTAGAACCCCGGCGTCCTTCATAAGCACCCTTTACAACTTTCCTGCTGTCATTTGCTTCAGAAAAAATCATACGGGATCCGAACTAATAAGTAATTGGATTGACCAGCAAGCAGTCCAAATTGCAACTTCACGGATACCGTTTGGGGTTTCAGCATTACAAGCAGTTTACGCAGTCAAATTCACATTGCTGTATTCATCTCAAGGAATAGGCTTCTAGCTTAGTGCACATCGGGGTCATTTATTATCGCTTATATTCATAATCAAAAAGTAAAATACAGTTTCGGAAATCTAAGAGAAGGTAGTGTAAAAATTTGTAAATTTCTTTTTTTAGTTTTATTCCCTTTCATTGAATACATAAGGATATAGTTTTCAGAAAGGGAAAAGCAGCCAATCAAAGGACTGTTACACAACGAACAGAGAATGAGGAAGTTCGGCGATGGTGGTAAGATTTGAACACACGTCCTCTGGGGTGTTAATTTGGTGACGTTACCACCGGGGCACCACTGCCCGGATATCATCCGCGTAGAGTTTGTTAAATGACATCTGGTCACGGAAATGGATACACATTAATTTGTGTATAATAGGTGGTAGATGTGCGATAAAACATAGTCGCTGAAGTTTTCACAAAAGTTAAAGTGTCTGTCGGTTGAAAAACTAAATAGGGAATGTTGCTTGTGCGTGAAATAATTTTAACAGACCGACCCAGCCTTGCACGATTTTTAACTCTAAGACCTGCAACTAAAACTGGGGACCAATAAAGAAGATGAGCGATAACATCAGGAAGTACAAAAAGGGTGAGTAAATATAATTGAACTTTTGAAGATCACAAGTGGGAACTAAAGAATCGAATCTTTTTAAAAGTGCAATTGAAAGTTGACATCTTGACAGATAGTAAAAACAAGGTTTTGTAAAGAACTGGGGCAACAGGCAGATTGTCAACATAGAGTACAGAGTAATTTCTTTCCACGAATGTACTCGTTGTCCTTTGGCTAGTGAGGTGACAGCTCTACATTTAGAGGCCGTAAGACATAGGTTGGGATATAAAAACCACAGGCTTAATGCAGGCAAATTGGTTTGAAGCTGCGAGAAACGGAAATCGCCTTGGAATTTGGAACACGTGATGATATCATTAGCACTCTGTAAGAAGACCACCTAGTTCGGCGGGTGGCTATGTAGAAAGTGAAAATAACAGACAAGAGTATTGATTCTTGGAGCACCTCTTGATTGACCGGTCATACCTTTATCACAATACATTAACAAACTTCTCATTCCTCGCAACTTTATCGCGTGCAAGTATGCTAATGACGGGGTAGTTGGTTGTTCCTCGACTGATCCTGACTGTCTCCGCCAACTTCGGGATTGTTTAAGTAAAACTTTTATTTGGTCTACGTCCCGCTTCTTGATGACCAATGTCGATAAATGTTTGGATGTTCGTTTTAGCCTTATAATAGGCACTCATTACCAAATCCTTTTTAGTAAGCAGTCTGAGTTTGCTGTTAACGGCAATGTCATCCCCCCAAACTGATTTTGTCAAACATCTTGGAGTTACTTTGTCACGTAACCTTTCTTGGCCCAAATATATTGAAAATATAGATTAACCTTCTACGCTTTTAAGCTTAAAAAGCTCGGCTTCCCTAAATGTAATTCTTAAGTATGTGACAGCGTTCATTCTTCCATACTGATTGTGCTGTTCCCCGGTATTTTTCTCCCGGTCTAAAGGAAAAAGATTTTATTCTCTTTTCCAGGTCTCATAAACTTCTTTCTCGTTGCAGTGACATTTCAGAAACCGTTTTAGTTGATTTTATTGTGAGCAGGAATTTTGATTCATGTGATAGATTTATCAGCCATATACTGTCAAATGAAGAAAACTGCCTGCATGTATATCTCAATAAATTGGTGTCTTGTCGGAATACGCTTTCCAAACTTAGGATTCTTTGCGTGTTTCCTACCGAAACAGCATCATCCCTTATTTTCCTCGTATCTTAGTAAATCGAGCTAATATCATTGCGGACTTCGGAAATCACCTGTCAGATTAGGATTTTATCACATCCATTTGTTTTTCATTTCGTAAACGCGTAATTTTGCTCAATGCTTAACGTTTTCTTCAATGTAACTTGTTAAAAGTGCTAAAACCTCAACCTATTTGAAGCATAAAGCTCAACTTGACTATTTTGGGTGATGTGGGGAAAATTTGTTCTTGTATATCGTCAACAGTACAGTATTTGGATGAGGTATAGTTGCACTGAAACGGAATAGATGGTCTATATCTTACTGAACAGTGTTCATTACAACGCACCGGAAAGTGATCGGTGATTATTCTGTACGTTTTTCATGTTTTCTATTTTAGTTTCATTGCATTCGACGATAAAAACGTGTCCATTTTAATACATGTGATATTTTTGCTCCTACACATCTAAGAAGATGATTTCGCTTTGAAATATTGTAAAGAAAATATGCCTAAATCCCCCGAGTAGCTACCTACACTTTATATCATCACTCCCAGCCCAAAAACGAAACAAAAAGAAACAAAGTTAAAAAAGAATGAACAAGTGGAGGATCCAGTTCCCACCGCGTGATGTCCATAAATTTTTCACGGGTAGCTCCAGCCCTAAA